GACCTATAGTGACCCTATATAGGGTTTCCAAGGAGCCCCTGGTGAGCTTGAACTGCCGACCCTGCAGTTCAAACAGTACTGCAGTCTGGTGCATTAACCCATAGCACCACACCAGGACAAACTGGTTCCAGTGAACTCTGCAGGCTTGGGGTTATATAGTTTCTAAATACCATTTCAGCCCAAGAATAATGTAAAAGACCAGAAGTTTCCGGAACCTTCTAAGGTCTTTCTAGGCAATGCTACCTGAGTTCAGGTTATCCAGCACCACCTAACACAGAAAATAATTCAAGCCAAGGGACTGAAACAAAGTTGATAGAAATAACTCGTTTTCCCCAAAGAGGCATAACCTGGAAACATGGCCTCACTTCAATCCAGACTGCAGAAACAGGATACACTTTGGAAGAATGGATCAAGTTAGACTGACATGATAGTTACACATGCTTTTATATAACCAAAATGAAGAGGAAAAACAAAGTGAAACAAAAATAGAAGTTCTAGTAACAGTGCCAAGTTATTCCTAGAAATGAGCTCTATTGCTAAAGTGGCACTCGGTGTCTTATTATGCCATCCAGTATGAAAGTGAGTCAGTAATTACCTGCACTCTGGCTGTGGAATTTATTTTAATCAATTTTTAGAAAAGACAAATACATCATTTGTTTACATAATCTCCTTGCTTTTTAATACACTTTGTCCATCTTTCAATAAACTTTCATATCACTTTATTTTAAAATGCTTTAGGCTGAGCCACAAGCCACAATGTGAACCTTCATCTTCAAAAGTCTGCTTTCAGTGGACCAAACAGGTGAAAGTTCAATGGAGCAAGATCAGGACTATAGGGAGGATGCTTTAATACCTCAAAATGAAGTATGTACAGAGTGTCAACAATGTGGGCAGAGGTGTGCAGACGTGCATTGCCATGCAAGATCATGAAGGCCTTGGAGAGCAGCCCTCTGCATGTAATCTGATGTTTAGGATTCAGCTCTTCAGTAAACATCTCACTGTAATGAGCACTGTTGACTGTTGAACCTTTGAATCTGACTGTCCCAGTACTGGCCTTTGAAATCCCAGAATTTGTAAGCATTAATTTTCCAGCTGACTGACTTTTGAACTTTTTCTTGGTCAGTGATTGAGGATGTTTCTATTTCATACTCCACTGTTTACTCTCAGACTCATAGTGATGAATCCATGTCTAATCACCAGTTACAATTAAAAAAAAAAAAATCTTTTACCTTCCTTTGAGTATTAAGTCCAAATTTTGTTTGCAAATATCCAAATGCTTCTGGTTATGATCTTCTGTGAGTTGTTTTGGTACTCATCTTGCACAAACTTTTCTAAACACAAGTCTGTCGTGGAGTATTTCATAGGCAGAGGCATGACTGATTAGCACATGATTTGCTACATAATCCACTGTCACTCATCTATTTGACAGAATTATTTCATGTGAATGCTCAATGTTATAATCAACCATGGACAGGCATTCTAATATAACTGGAGTGCGGATAATTTTTTTACTCAATCTCGTACTTTCAACTCTGGTATCTAATGATTTAAGCAATTCAACCCTAATTTTTTTTTTTTCTGGACCTGTAATCTCGTATTGGAGTCCTGGTGTGGCACTGTGGGTTAATGTGCCAGCTTGCAAAGCCGTTTGAACTGCTGCTCCTTGGAAACCCTATAGAGGGTCGCTATGGGTCGGAAGCGACTTGATGGCACTTCACAACAACAACAACCTCATATTAAAAACAAAAAACAGTTGCCATCAAGTTAACTCCAACTTATGGCAACCTCATGTGTTTCAGAGTAGAACAATTTTGGGAGACAATTACCAAGTCTTTCTTCCAGGTGCCTATGAGTAGAATCAAACTACCAATCTTTTGGTTAGGAGACAAGTATTTAACTATTTGCCCTACTTGATAGCTTCTGACGTAATTGGTTTCTACACCAAAGGAATAAATGAAAAATGGAAAGAAAAACATCCCCATCATGTATAAAAATTTTATACTACAAAAGAGCAGACCTAACTGTTGATCTTATAAATACTTTAAATCACTTCTTTTCAATGCAAGTGTAAGTGCCTGAGAAAGGATTTCAATACCTTAGAAATCTGCTGTTAAAATCAATTACCCCAGATCAGCAAATTTCTTTTACTTTATACTAAAGAAAAATAGGTACATATTTATTTTTATGGGGTAGATACCTATTCCGAGAAGTCATCTAAGAAAATCCAAAGATGAGTTGCCTGAGAGTCTTATGTGAAACACTCAGCAAGATTCTTTTCAAAATGTACTTCATCTTTCCCACAAGCTTTAAAAACACGTACTTTTTTATAAATGCTGATTTTTTTTTTTTTATTCTATGTGTGTATGCTCCTGAGAAATATTATTTTTATCTATTGGTTTAATATAGAGTTTATTTAGACGTCATCAGTTTTACATGCACTCATTCCATGTGTGTTTGTGGACTGAAGTCATCACTTGCAGCAATGAAAATAGCAGTGTCAGAAGACAGGATTCCTCTACTAGCTCTGACCTTGAGTAAGTCTTAACCTATGAAACAGGAATAACACCTAGTCTAATACATAATAGTAAATTGTTTCATTTACATAAAAATGGAAACACCTGTTTCGATATATTTTAAGAGAGATGGAAAAAGATTCTTCTTGCCATTGTTTTTCACAGGAAGCCTGTGGTAAAGTCAAGAGATCTATTGCTTATTAGCTGTGTTGCCCTAAGAAAAATATTTAATCTCCCTGCATTTTTATTTCCTTGTAACCTTCAGGCAAATTCCATCTTACAGGATTATTGTAAGGATGAAATGAGGTAAGCACTCATTCAATAAGCACTCATTCTACGTTGTATTTAGGAGCTATGGCAGTGTAGTGGTTACAAGTCAGGCTGATAACATTAAGGTAACAGTTCGAAACTACCAGCCATTCCGCGAGACAAAGATGAGGCTTTCTGCTCCAGTAAAGATTTACAGCCTCTGAAACCCTATGAGTGGGAACCAACTCCGGGGCACACCACCACCACCACCACCACCACCACCTACCTGGTATTTATTTATCTAGCTGCATGCTCTACTAAGAGTCCTGGTGTGGCACTGTAGGACAAGCACAGGACTTCAAGGTCAGTGGTTCGAACCCACCAGACACTCCTTGGAAACCCTATATAGGTTTACTATGAGTCGGGACCAAGTTGATAGCACCTAACAACAACATGCTATACTGAATAAGTGTTCTTTTGCTACCTATATGCCATATACTGTGCTACACTCCAGGTATTAAAAGAGAAGATGACCACACACAGTAAACTTTTGTGCAAAGAAAATATTAGGTTTTCTACCCACGGACCTTCTTGAAATCATAACAGGAATCTGATGTGCTTTTACAAGTTCTTATAGATGAATATATAAAATTAAGCCCAAGTTAAAAAATGTCAGGTCTAAATGAGACCACCACCAATTAAAACATAAACAACAACAACAAAAATAATTTCACGTTTAGCTGTTCACCAGTGAAATGTATCTGATACACACAAGGTCACAAAAGAGACAAAGATCAGAAGTGATGGCATATTACGTCACATACAACATATACCTAGTGTAGGGCTTGGCATAGAATAAATGCTAATAAATAACCCCACTCCGTGACTTCCACACCAAGTGACTCTGAGTAAATTATTAACTTCTCTGAACCTTGTTGTTGTTGTTAAGTGCTGTTGAGTCGGTTCCGACTCGAGGCTTAATTTAAAGGAATTTAGTTCTCTGCAAAAAATAGAAATGTGTCTGCTTTACCCATCTCATAGGATGGCTGTGATGGAATTAAGTCACATGAGAATGTACCTAGCAATAATAAAACAGTAATTATGCAATATAATGACTACTGCCACCAACAGTTCAAGCCTACTTGTTATAGGGGTTGTTGTTGTTTGTTATTAAGTGCCGCCTAGTCGATTCTGACCCTAGCGACCCCGTACAGGGTTTCAGAGGAGCAGCTGGTGAGCTTGCAGTTCAAACGGCTTTGCAGTCTGGCGCATTAACCTACACTATAGGGGTTAGAAGATAATAATAATGAAGCATCAGGAAAGGAACAGCACCAAGATCTGAGGACAAACTCGTATTTTCTAACGTCACCTTCCTTAATGAAAGGAACTGGTCATCGTTAAGCAGGTACTGTGCCTTTTTTACCTCCAGGTTTTATTTCACAGTCTCTGCTGAGACTCAGCCTGCACGTCTGAGATCCCAGACGCCGGACCCCACCACCTTCAACCCAGACACCGAAAAGGCGCTACGGGTAAGGTGGCTTTGTAGTCAGCAGAGTAAGAGGGCGAACCTCTCAGTTCTACCTTCAATAGAGAGAAGCGACCGTCCCCACGCCTCTCATCTCGAACAGCCAGAACGCTCCCAGAAGCGAGACTTCGCCTCACGCCTCCAGCCTTGCTCGAGCTTCAGGACCACCGCGTTCACGGCCTCGTCCCCTCCCACTCGTACCTGCTTCATTGCACGTAGTAAGCCAGCGAAGAAGCGCGGGAAGCAAGTTCTAGGCAACAACTTACTCACTGTCAGCCCAGCAAGTGCCTACAGAGGAGTCGGGATAGTCTCCAGAGATGTTGGGACTCGTACCTCGGAGGCTACCCACTGCCCCGCAAGCTCTCCAGGAACCGGCGCATGAGAGGTAGCAAGCCCAGAAAGGCGGACAAGCACGGGGCGGAGCGGCAGTTTGGACACACCCTAATCCCGCCTCAGCGTTCTAGCCTGCGAACAGGAAGGCGGGTAGACACAGACGAATGGAAGAGAACAAGGGACTAGGACCTAGGGTCTTGGTTGGTGGCGACTGCCATGCCCTAGACCCCTCCACGGAACGATCGCCTGGTGTCTACGTCACCTAATCTCTGACCGAGGCGCACTCCGCCCACTTCTGGGTGCCGAGCGCGCACGCGCACTTATACATTTGTTTGACAGCAGCTGGCGGAGAAGGTGTCGCGAGAGTTGGCTGTACACTACCCGGTAGGGGCTGTAACTATGGCGAGTCTGGGGACTGAGGATGAACAGGAACCTCTCTTAGGCTACGGCACACCCGGAAGCAGGTGAGCGGATGCTGAGGAAAGGACCCTCACACGTCCCATGCTGTTTATATTGGCTCTTTTCCGAGCACCAATTGCACCAGGCCTAACCTTCAGTGTCTAAGGGGTATCAAAACGTCGCAAGTAGGTGCCCAGGCTTGCGAGCCCGAGAGGTGCGCTCCCACTGTTAGAGAGGACGATGGACAGCTCGCGGCACGGCGTTGTGAGCCCATGGGCGCTCTGGTGAGGGTGTTAGAGAAGACAGAGCCACCTGTTAGACGCGTGTTGTTCAACACTGTTGCCGGCACTCAAGCCTCTGCTCTTTTTGGCCTTTTATACTAAACACATTTCACAAAGATCTCGAAATAATGGTTTTAATCTATAGTACTGACCTACTGGGGAGCACGGTGGCTCCACGTGATAAGCACCTGACTTTGAACCACTAGCCATTCCGTGGGAGAAAGATGAGGCTTTTTGTCCCCACAAAGATGTAAACGCCTGGAAACCTTATATAGGGCCCCTATGAGTCGGAATGGACTCGACAGCACTTAACAACAACAACGAGTCGGAACCGACTCAGTGGCACTTAACAACAACCGACCTACTAAGAACTGGACTGCTAATCACAAGGTCGTCAGTTCAAGCCTACCAGCTACTTCTCAGAAATCCTAGACAGGGTCGCTATGAGTTGGAACTGACTTGTCAGCACTTAACAACAATTGATCTTACTTAAGTAACTAATAACTTACTTCGTGGGTTCTATGCCAAAAGTACAAATAAAGACACGTTTTTAAGTATCTTAACGATGACATGCCAGATTGTATAAAATATAATTTTGTTTATTTTACTATTGAAAATAAATACAGCAAAACACACCAGCAGTTTGTTGAATCAACAGTTTCTATACGTGTAATTCAGTGACATTGATTAGATTCTTTTGATTGTACAACCATTCCTCCTTCATTAACATAAAATCACTACTCACTAAGATTCCTAACTAATCTTTGAGTTGCTGCTGTCTTTTTGATCCCATATAGATAATTCCTGGTGTGGCGCTTCCTGTAAAATAAGCACTGTACTGCTAACCACAAGGTGAGCAGTTCAAACCCACCAGTCACTCTTCAGAAACCTATACAGGGTTACTCCGAGGTGGAATCCTCTCGTAAACACTTAATACCAACAAGAAGATAATTCTTAACAGCATAATGCTCACGGCAGGTTTTTTTTTACTAATTTATCTAAACTCCAGGGCACTCAACAATAAAATCTAAGCAGTTTGGCTTTAAGAAGACTTTTTGTTGTTAAGTGCCGTTAAATCGGTTCTGACTCATAGCGACCCTGTGTATGAGTTTCCGAGGAGCAGCTGATGAGTTTGAACAGAAGACCTTTGAGTTCAAACCAACCTTGCAGTCTAGCTCATTAACCCAAGGAGATATTTTTGGTTATAGGTTTAAATGCAAGTTTCAGGGGTTCAGTCAAACTTCTTGACTTCCGGAGTCCATGATGATTTAAAATTCTGTTCTATATTACCCTCTTTTAGATCAGAATTTTTTATGAAATCAAAGTGTTCAATAATGGTAGCCAGCTCTGGTCTTATATGGCAGAAGAGGCATTTATTCTTGGAGGCAATTAACCACACATTCCACATCTCCATTTATTTGGATGTTGTTTGTTGGTCCAGTGGTAAGGATTTTAGTTGTACATTATCAACCTCAACAACTACACTTTCTTTCTTCCTTCCTTCCTCTCTTTATTTTTGTTGTGTAAACACCTGTATATGTCACACAACTTTTGCCAGTTCATCTTTTTAACAATACAACTTATTGACAGTCTTTACAATAATTGGCTGTGCGACCCTACACTTAATAGTGATTAGCTCCCCCTTTCCCCTCCCTCCTTTTTTTGTCTTTAACTGAAGTCATAAAATACTTGTCCTTTTGTTATTGACTTATTTCACAGGGTCACTATGAGTCAGAACTTACCCAGTGGGACTTAACAACAACAGGAGGTAGAACAGGTACTTGACATGTTATTAGAGTAATTAACTGGGATGTTTATGAAACCTTGATCCTAAACCTCCAAACCAAGAAACCAAATCCCATGATGTTTTTGTTGTTTGTTGTTAGGTGCCCTCGAGTCGGTACCAACTCATAGCGACCCTATACACAACAAAATGAAACACTGCCCAGTTCTGGGCTAACCTCATAATCATTGCTAAGCCTGAGCCCATTGCTGCTGCTACTGTGCCAATCTATCTTGTTAGGGGTCTTCCTCTTTTTCTCTGACCTTTCACCTTATCAAACATGATACTCTTCTCTAGTGACTAGTCCCTCCTGACAGTATGTCCGAAGTCTAAGATACAAAGTCTGGTCATCCTGGCTTCTAAGGAGCACTCTGGCTGTACTTCTTTCAACGCAGATCTATTTGTTCTTTTGGCAGTCCATGGTACTTGTAAAATTCTCCTCCAACACCACAACTCAAATGCATCAATTCTTCTATGGTCTTCCTTACATACTGGCCAACTTTTGCATGCTTATTTCACAGGTTATTGAAAACACCATAGCTTGGGTTAGGCGCACCTTAGTCCTCAAACTACATCTTTGTTCTTGAGCCCTTTAAAGAGGTCTTTGCCACAGATTTTCCCAAAGCAATATGTAGTTTGATTTCTTGACTGCTGCTTACATGATTGTTGATGGTTGATCCAAGCAAAATGAAGTCTTTGATAACTTCAATCTTTTCTCCATTTATATGGGATTTTGTTTGTTGGTCCAGTGGTGAGGATTTTAGTTGTACATTATCAGCCTCAGCAACTACGTTTACTTTCTTCCTTCCTTCTCTCTTTATTTTTGTTGTTGTAAATACCTGTATATGTTACACAACTTTTGCCAGTTCAACTTTTTAAACAGATGATTTATTTCACTCAGTATGTCTTCTCCTTCTATCCATATTGTAGCATGTAACAATACTTCACTTATCCTGTTGCCTAAGTAGTATTTCATTATACTTGTGTACCACGTTTTCTTTATCCAGTCATCTGTTGGTTAGCATTTAGGTTGTTTCTACGTTTTGTCTAGCTGTTGTGGATAGTGCTGCAGTGAACACTGATGTATGCTTCTCTAGTTTCAAGTCTTGGTAAGAGTAGAATTGCTAGGTCATATGGTAGTGCTATTTTTAAATTTTGAGGAACTGCCACACTATTTTCCATAATGACTGTACTAGTTTTCATTCCCATAAGCAATGGATAAGGGTTCCAATTTCTCCACATCCTTGCCAACAGTTGAAAAACTTTTTAGTCATTCCATTGTTATTGTTAAGTGTCATCGAGTTGGTTCAGATTCATAGCAATTCTGAATAGGATTTCCAAGAAATAGCTGGTAAGTTTGAACTGCCAACCTTGTGGTTCAAATTGACCTTGCGTTCCAGTGCTTATCTTACAGCACCACATCAGGACTCTTTGTTGTTGTTAAGGGCCATTTAGTCATTTGCAACTCATGGCAACCCTGTATAGGGTTTCCATGGAGCAACTGGTGAGCCTGAACCGCCGACCTTGTGGTTCAAACTGACCTTGCATTCTACTGCTTATTCTACAGCACCACACCAAGACTATACACCAGGATTCTGTTGTTGTTGTTATTGTTATTAAGTGTCATCAAGTTGGTTCTTACCCATTGCAACCCTGTGTAGGATTTACAAAGAGCGACTGGTGGGTTTGAATCAGCACCTTTGAGGTTCAAGTCAACCTTTCAGTCCACTGCTTTATCCTGTAGCACCAGGTCTCTATTGGGAGTGAAATAATATCTAACTGTGGTTATGATTTGCATCTTTCTGATGGCTAATTATGCTGAGCATCTTTTTATGTTTATTGGATTTTTGCATGTT